GGCTGGGCCCTACCACTCTGAACTACATCCCCGGGATGGCCTCCTGCTAGCTGGCCTCCATCTCTAGCGGCCTGACCTCCACCTCTAGCGGCCTGACCTCCACCTCTAACACCTCGACCTCCACCTCTAACCGCCTGACCCCTACCTCTAGCTGGCCGAGCAGGCTGTGGAACACCCGGTGCCTGAACCATAGCACGAGAACCCTGATGCTGAGAACTGCTCGAGGGTAAAATCTAGCAATGTGCCTCGGATCGCCACAAGTATAACAAGTCATCGGCTGCTGGGACTGCTGACCCTGACGGCCTGAGTAACCACCCTGAAAACTCTGGATCGAAGGTGCATTGATAGGAGCTGGTGATGCACTGTAGGTAGCTGATCCGAATACTGCATACGAGAACCACGGCCACCTGGAGCACAATGAGAAGCCTGAAGTGCCGAATGAAACGGCTTGGGAGTATGGCCCCTACCAAAAGAATCCCTGCCTCCAGATGAGGCACCACTGAATCTGCCCGAATGACGAGGCCTCTAGTCAGACCCCTGACCACTCCCCTGTGATAGAACCATCTCAACTCACTAGGCCACATTGGCCGCATCCTGAAAAGAAATCTCGCTCCCTGTCTCCTTAGCCATCTGCAATCGAATAGGCTGAGCGAGTCCTTCAATGAACCTCTTCACTCTCTCTCTCTCTCGGTGGGAAGTATAAGAAGAGCATGACGGGCCAAGTTAATAAATCTGGTCTCGTACTGAGTGACGGTCATAGAACCCTGCTGGAGATGCTCAAACTACCTCCGATAGTCCTCCCTCTGAGTGATAGGAAGAAACTTCTCCAGAAATAGCTGAGAGAACTGATCCCAAGTCAAAGCTGGTGACCCAGCTGGCCTACCCAAACAATAACCCCTCCACCAAGTCTTGGCGGAACCTGACAGACGAAAAGCAGCAAAGTCGACCCCATTGGTCTCCACTATCCCCATGTTCCGTAGAACCTCATGACAGCTGTCCAAATAGTCCTGGGGATCCTCTGAGGATGTACCGCCATATGTAGTAGTAAAAAGCTTGGTGAACCTGTCCAATCTCCACAAGGCATCAGCAGACATAGTTGCTCCATCACCGGTCTGTGCTACAACACCCGGCTGAACTACCCCAACTGGCTGAGCTGCTGGAGTCTGAAACTGGGGAGCCATCTGCTCTGGAGTGCGAGTAGCAGGAGTCTGGGCTCCTCCTCCAACCTGAGAGGCGGCTGGTGCTACAGGGAATATGCCTACCTGAGTGACACTCTCCATAAGGCCCACTAGACGGACCAGAGCATCCTGGAGTACCGGGGTAGCGATGAACCCCTCTAGGACCTGAGCTGGTCCCGCTGGAGCTGTCTGGGCCGGAACCTCCTCCTCAAACTCTACCTGAGGCTCCGCCACTGGTGCTGCCGCTCGAGCTCTGGGCTGAGCCCTGCCTTTGCCTCGGTCTCTAGCACGGCGTTGGCCTCTGCCCCTCGTAGGAGCTGCCACTGGGGGCTCGGGCTGCTGATCAGCGGATGAAGAAGCACGTGTTCTCGCCATCTGCGAAAGAACAGAGCAGAAGTTCAATTAGCATTGAGAAATCAAGTCGCACGAAATGAAAGAATAGATGTGAAGTTTTCCTAAACTCTATATCCCCTGGGGGACAAGCACAGACGTCTCCATACCGATCCCTCAAACTCTACCTAGCTTGTTCGTGAATTGTGAGACCTAGGAAACTTAGTGCTCTGATACCAACTTGTCACGACCCAAATTTCCCTCCCTCGGGAGTCGTGATGGCGCCTACTCGTGAAAGCTAGGCAAACCAATTACTATGATTTTTAACACAATAGCAATCAACCCAAATAGATATAAACAGTAACTAAAACTAAGCAGATATAAAATGCGGAAGTGTTATAACAAACTCAATACTCTAGTACATGTCTACCCAAGAATCTGGTGTCACAATTTCACGAACATCTACGAATGTCTACAAACATTGGTCCAGAAGAAAAGTACAACTGTTCTCGAAATGAAAAGAGACAGTATATCAAAACATAAGGAAGGGGACTCCAGGGTTTGCGAACGCCGACAGATCTACCTCGGCTCTCCTATGGACTGAAGGCAACAACCCACGATCTAGTCACGAGGTCCAGCACCGATATCTGCACAGAAAGTGCAGAGTGTAGTATCAGTACAACCAATCCCATGTACTGGTAAGTGTCGAGCCTAACCTCGGCGAAGTAGTGACGAGGCTAGGACACGACAACCATATAAACTCGTGCAGTTAAATCATATACAACGGATAATAAAAACAGGAAATAACACATAAAGAGGGGAAGGGAAGCATGTTGCGGGGAATATCAACTACTTAACAGAAAATTCAGTAGAGAAGCATAAAGAACACCATAATGATATCAACAGGAATAAGGAAAACAGTAACACGTGCACGGCATCACCCTTCGTGCTTTTACTCTCGTCCTCACCATAAGAATCAATAGAATCGGCACGACATCACCCTTCATGCATTAACTCTCACAATATTGGCACGGCATCACCCTTCGTGCTTTTACTCTCATAATCATGGCATGACATCACCCTTCGTGCATTAACACTCACAATATTGGCACGGCATCTCCCTTCGTGCTTTAACACTCACTCACAATATCATGCACGGCATCACCCTTCGTGCTTTACACTCTTCCTCACTCAAACAATAGAAACAATACATCCCGACAAGGGAATCAACAATATAAACAATAACCTCCCGGCAAGGGAATTAAAAATATAAACAATAACCTCCGGGCAAGAGAATCAACAATATGAACAATAACATCCCGGCAAGGGAATCAGCTATAACCAATTTCGTTCCAATAGTTACTTCACAAAAAAAATCCCAACTTGAGCCAATACTCAAAAAGGGTCAATTACCAAGGATTTAACATGAATTATGTTCAACATTTATAATCATCAACCTAAGCATGGACAATACACAATAGAGTCACAACAATCATGGTATAAGACTCACGGGCATACTTGACACCAACGTATAGATACTCGTCACCATGCCTATACATTGTACTCAACACTAACACGTAGCAATTAAGACCACAACTCCTATTCCCTCAAGCTAAGGTTAGACCAAACACTTAGCTCAATTCCACGGACAAAAATCAAGCCTCAATTACCGCTTTACCTCTCGGTTCCACTTCCAATCCGATTGTATCTAGTCATAATTTACTTAATAACATTAATAAATGCTAAATAAACCAATTTTAATGCATGAAAATAGATTTCCCAATGATTTCCCCAAAAAGTCAAAACCCGGCCCTGGGCCCTCTTGGTCAAAACTCGAAGTTCGAACCAAAACCCGATCACTCATTCACCCACGAACTCAAATATGCAATTAGTTTTGAAATCGGACCCCAAATCAAGGTTCAAATCCCCAAAATTCGAAAATCCTAGTTTCTACCCAAGAACACCCAATTTCCCATGAAAAACCGTAGATTTTGAAGTGAAATCATGTAAAAAGATGAAATAGATTGAAGAAGATGAGTTAGAAATCGTTTACCTATGATTTAGGGAAGAACTTGCTCTTGAAAAATTGCCCTTAGGAGTTTAGGTTTTAAAATGTTGAAGAATGATATGAAAATCCCGTCTAAAATCCCACTTAACAAGTGTAGTTTTCGCAATTGCGATCAGGGGTTCGCAATTGCAAACCCTTTGAAATCCTGCTATCTTCGCATTTGCGATGTAAGGGCCTTCACATTTTCCAGCCCAGAGTTCGCATTTGCGATGAGGGCCTGCCCAGGCCTGGTTCACATTTGCGACACAGGGGTCACATTTCCCAGGCCTGACTAATTCGCAATTGCGAAGCCTGATCTCGCAATTGCGAGATCAGAGGCCTGTGCAAAAATACCAGATGCACAACTGCATTTTCCTAAGTCCAAATCACCCCGCGGCCTATCCAAAACTCACCCGAGCCCCCGGGGCTCCAAACCAAACATGCACGTAAGTCTAAAAATATCATACGGACTTGCTCCTGAAATCAAATCATTAAAATAACATCAACAACTATTAATTTAGCACCAAAATTCATAAAATTCTCAAGAACATTGAAATTTCCATTTTCTCAACTATGGGTCCGATTTATATCAAATCAACTCCGATTCTTACCAAATTTCACAGGTTCGACTTAAATATTATTTTAAACCTGTACCGGGCTCCGGAACCAAAATACGGGTGCGCTACTATCAAGAACACACACCATTTCATTTCCAAAAGTCTTTATATCTTCCAGCAAACAATTTTCTTTAAAAATTATTTTCTTGGGTTAGGGACCTCAGTATTCGATTCCAGGCATACGCCCAAGTCCCATATTTTACTACAGACCCTACGGGACCGTCGGAACACGGGTCCGGGTCCGTTACCTAAAATGTTGACCGAAGTCAACTTAATTCCATTTTAAAGGCAGAACTTAGCATTTTTCTTAAATTTTCACAAAGGCTTTCCGAATATATGCCCGGACTGTGCACGCAAATGTAGGTGAAAAAAAGGAGGTTTTTACGGCCTCGGAACACATATTTAAATTCTAAAACACGAGATGACTTTTTGGGTCATCACATCAAGGCATCCATCAATAATGGCAATGAAGCACACTTCTGCCTTGAAAATTAAAGTAGTGGATAGTTTACAACACAACTCTGAAGTATGTCCTTTAGCCAAGCAAAGTAGATTGAAATTTCCTCTCAGTAGCAGCAAGACTGAGTGTATTTTTCAGCTTATTCATCTTGATGTTTGGGGTCCTCACAAGCTGCCTACATATGATAGAAAACATTATTTTCTTACAATTGTGGATGACTTTAGTAGATATACCTGGGTGTGTTTGTTGTGGTCTAAATGTGAAGTTGTAACAGTGTTGAAAGACTTTCTTATAATGGTAAAGACTCAATTTGACATGAATGTGAAATTATTGAGATTTGATAATGGAATAGAGTTTTTTAATTCCAGCTGTAATGCACTGTTAGCATCCTTAGGCATTGTGCATCAAAGCAGTTGCCCATACACACACCAACAGAATGGGGTGGTGGAAAGGAAACACAGACATATACTTGAAGTGGCTAGAGCATTGCAATTTCAGAGTTCTGTTCCTAGTAGATTTTGGGGAGATTGCATCAAGACAGTTGTTTACCTGATCAACAAGTGGCCTACATCCATACTATAAGAAAAATCTCCTTATGAAGTTTTGTATGATAAAGCACCTGTTATTGATCACTTAAAGGTGTTTGATTGTTTATGTTTCTCTAGCAACTTACCAAAAGGAGACAAGTTTGCAAAGAGAGCAAGAAGATCGGTCCTCATAGGTTACTCAGAAGTTCAAAAGGGGTACAGAGTGTTTGACTTAGAAACTAAGACTATATTTGTAAGTAGGGATGTTAGTTTTAGAGAACATATCTTTCCTTTTAAGGAAAGTGTGACCATTCCACAAGATCCCTTTCCTACACAAGCCTCTATACCATCACACCCTGATCCCTCATTGCCTACATCCACAGACCCTCACATTCCACCTACAGACAATATTCTAGTCACAGAAAACACCAACATGCCTACTGCAAAAGTCCTACAGCTTGATCATATAGCCCAAAACACAGAAGCAACAGAGGTTGATCATGATAAGCAAGATACCTCAACTGACTTAGTTCCAAACACTGAACCAGAGCTCAATGTTACTCCTGACAATAGCATACCTGTGTCTAGACATGATCAAAAGCCTAGGAAGACTACTAGGACATCCAAACCTCCAATTTGGTTGAAAGACTACCAAACTACTAACAAGTTCTCTGGCTAATGCTTATATCCATTGACCGACAACCTTACTTATGCTAATCTCACAGCAGGTTATCAAGCATACCTGTCTGAAGTTGAACCGACTAATTTTTAGCAGGCTTCCACTGATAGCAGATGGGTCACAGCTATGCAACAGGAGATCCAAGCTCTTGAAGATAATCATACTTGGGAGATAATGGACTTACCAGCAGGGAAGCAAGCTATTGGTTCTAAATGGGTATACAAGATCAAGTACAAGGCCAATGGAGAGATAGAAAGATACAAGGCAAGGCTGGTTGCTAAAGGTTATAATCAAAAAGAAGGAATGGACTACCATGACACATTCTCACCTGTAGCAAAGATGGTCACAGTCAGCACCATTATCAGCATTGCAGCTACCAGGGGTTGACCTTATCTCAAATGGATGTTAGTAATGCTTTTCTACAGGGGGATCTCTATGAAGAAGTTTATATGCAGTTGCCTCAGGGATTTCATAAACAAGGGGAGTTGAAAGTGTGCAGGCTTATGAAATCCCTCTATGGTCTTAAACAAGCATCTAGGCAATGGAACATAAAACTCACTGATGCACTTGTTCAGAGTGGTTATAAACAAAGTCTTTTTGATCATTCCTTATTCACAAAGCAGCAAGGAGGAGAGATAGTTATTATACTGATGTATGTAGATGATTTGATGATTACTGGGAGCTCCTCCAACTTAGTCAATGATGCCAAGACAATTCTACATAGTAAGTTCAAAGTTAAGGACTTAGGAAAGCTAAGATATTTTTTGGGAATTGAGGTATCAAGGTCAAAGAAAGGAATCTTGCTCAATCAAAGAAAGTATGCTCTGGAATTAATTTCAGAGGTAGGCTTAAGTGGGGCAAAGCCAGTTGCAACTCCTGTAGAGTTGAATAAAAAATTGACAACTGTGGAGTATGATACATGTGTTGGGAAGACAGGTGATTTAGAGCTGAAGGATAATTCAGCTTATCAAAGACTGATAGGAAGGTTATTATACCTAACTATCACCAGACCTGATATAAGTTTTGCTGTGCAAACTCTGAATCAGTTCATGCAAAGGCCCAAATAGCCGCATATCGAAGCAGCATTGAGAATAGTGAGATATGTCAAAGGAGCACCAGGCATGGGGTTGTTGATGGAAGCAGGACCTATTGATCATCTCATTGCCTACTGTGATTCAGACTGGGCATCATGCCTTAATACAAGAAGATCTGTGACAGGATATGTTGTTAAATTAGGTAACTCTTTGATATCATGGACGTCAAAGAAGCAACCTACGGTGAGCAGGAGTTCAGTAGAAGTTGAATACAGAAGTATGGTTGCTGCAACTGCAGAGATCCCATGGTTAACAGGATTGCTGGAAGACTTGGGAATTAAAGTGTCTAGGCCTATTACATTGTTCTGTGACAACAAAGCTGCAACACAAATAACTGGGAATTTAATATTTCACAAGCGGACAAAGCATATCGAGATCTATTGTCACTTTGTCAGAGAGAAGATCAAGACATGTCTTATTACTCCATGTCATGTTTCTTCCTCCTTACAATTAGCAGATCTTCTAACAAAAGGACTCACTGATGCACAGCATTCCTTCTTAGTGTCCAAGCTTGGTGTGTTAGACATCTTCCACCCTCCAGGTTGAGGGGGAGTATTGAGAATTAAGCTAGTTAAGTGAGGGCATTTTAGTCAATACACACACACGTGAGAAGCATGTAATAGTCGGTTAATTTTGTTAAATACTGCTTTGAGTCTTGTAACAGATCTTAACCAAAAATGAGATGAAGTTCTTCTTCTTCCTTCCTCTTCTTCTTCTCTGAATTCTCTAGATTCTAGGGTTTAAGCTTTACATGCAATTCAAATTCTATCAGACTCATAGAAGCATAAGCACCACATTAAAGAAGAAACATTTGGCTTTTCAATTTATGTAATTTATACCCAGATTAGCAGTTGACTCTTGCATCATGAGGATAAAGGGTTAAGTTATTTTTCAAGTATGTAATATACTATTAATTATGGACAAAAAAGGTTTTTGTTAATTCAATATTAAATTAGTCATATTGCTTACATATGAACGGTCAATTGGAGCTGCAGTTTATTGAAAATAGTCTACCTAGAAAGTGAAAATAAAAGAAAGATCCTTCTTTGATTGAGAAGGATAAGGATCCTTCTATGATTGAGAAGAAAGATCCTTCGTTGATGAAAATGTTATTTTCCTTGGAATCACTATTTTTAGGAAGTTCTTGTTCTTGTGAATTTAGATGACATATTCTTGGTGAAGTTTAATTCTTCTCAATCAAGTTCTAGTTTTAGAGACAATACCTCTCATTTTATAGATAAGTTTGATGTGGGATCACTTAATCTCGACCCTGATTTGAGTGGACGATGTACTTATGTTATATTAGTACCAAATTAATGATACTCAATAATATCAAAGTTTGTATTTTGATGATAGTTATCATAATCATTAAGTTTTTGAAGACTTGAACATCGAACTTTATCACTAGCTAGTACTTGGTATATTAAAGATGGTGCCCCCTGTTATGCTATAGTTCTAGGGCCGCTTCTGTTTTTGAGGATACCAAATAGTTTAACTAGGAAATTGACAAAAATGTGATAGTTTAAGGGGATTTTAGGATATTAACTTTAAAAAGAGTAATCCTCATGAATCATCTTTAAAAGAATGTGTTGCAAAATTGTTAGTAATCTGTATTCGAAAATATATTCAAAAATATAAACAATGCAAAACTAGAAATGTAGAAGAACAGAAATTAATTCGAACCCACTGAATTCATATTGTTTCCTTAAGAAACTTAATCCCCTCCTAGTACCCGAAGTTTAGGATTATTTCCTCCCAGGATATAACTGATTACCCTCACTGGTGTAGCGGTACTTCAAACTCCAGTGACTAACGACTCAAAGATCGTTAGCAAATCACGCTTACTGCTTTCTTTTTGTTAAAAATAATGCAGAAGAAAGGAGGAGAAATTAGAATTTTCGTAAGGAAAATCTGAGGGAAAGATCATGTATTTATAGCCAAAAAGTTTGGGTAATACTCAAGAGTTGCAACTCTTTATGTAAGGCTGCAACTCAAAAATGGCTATTTTATAAAACGTTCATTTATGCAAACCGCCAAATTTAAATTATAACGGAAAAATTAAAATGAAGAAAAAAATTAAATTACTGTTACAGAAACGACTAATTTGGATAATGTTTGCTCAAAAAATGTTACACATCTTACGAGTACAAAATAATATAAATAAATCCCGGGATAATCCTAGCAAATCGTAATAATCCGTTGGACCAATTGAAAGACATGAAAATAAGAACTCAGAATTAGGGGGAGAAGCATTAGAAACCTTTATTGATAATATTTGTTTGGTCTGCCTCTCCATGGAGAGGTTCAAAGCCTTACAATGGTGTTTTCTCTTCCCATAAGAGGGGTATATTTTCTCGTTTCTCTCTCCTCTCACTAGTGGTGAAGAAGCAGCCCCTTTTCTGGGGTTTCCTCTCTTGGTATTTATAGCTGTGAGCTTCGTGAGCTGGCAATAAGTGGCTGTAACCACGTTGAGATCTCGCCTTTGTATTGGCGCATAGGCCAGGGCCTTGTCGGCCGAGCTAGAGGCGGGTTGAACGTTGTCAATCCTGAGTGTTCGTGCCGTTAATTAATCATGAATTAACTTAAAACGGGATTAGCCTCGTTAATTATCGTGGGATCAGATTTTGACCCATACAGATAATATTGTGTTAATCTTAATATTAATAAATAAATTAGGTCTAAAAAATTAATCAATCAATCAGATCATTTGACCAAATCTGAATCGAAATCGGAAGTCGAAGCCGAAACCGAACGTTATGTTGAAAACTCAAGATTTTCAAACAGTTCTTGACACTCCTGACTCCACAATCTTCTAACAAAATGGTGGCCTTTCCTGTTCTTGACACTCTACTATGTCTCCTCCCTTTTGGTGTGACTATGTGCCAAGTCAATGAGAAATTTTGAGATGGCAGTCTAGGTACGTACCCACATAACATTTCTTACGTGGGTGCAGGAACCATTTGACAACGGTTAAAGATACAAATAGGTTTACTATATGATAATTTGAAACTGTACGGCAACTCAAATAATTAATCCATTGTAGTCTAGGTGGTTAGGATACTCGGCTCTCACCCGAGAGACCCGGGTTCAAGTCCCGGCAACGGAATCTATTTTTTTGTCTTTTTGCCTCCTGTGTTTTAAAGGAAAAGCTCCTGTTTTTTTCTGAGAAAGAAAAGTTCCCTGAGAAGGTACAAGATCAAGTTCTTTAGTTTTTTCCCATTGATATTCAAATAATCTATATACATGACAGCATGAAGTTTATAAAGTCCAGTAAATTTTCTAACAATCACTTAATTGAAGTTCAACCGCAACTGAAGATATTTAATAATTTCTTAAACACTAGTCTCAATTTTAATTATATAACGACTGTTTTTTGTGAGAACGACAGACTTTATTTGATATTAAATAATCACTTACTTGAAACTGAGACAAAACGGATTACTATTAAAATATCACTTTTTAAATTACAGGCAGAAGTTTTTGTTTACCTCGAAAATACGAGTAACAATTAAATTTAATTTATGATTTTAAGATATGTGATTTAGTAATAAACCAAGAAAACTAACATATAAATGAAGGAAATGAATAAAATCAATCCAGTGTGCAAGCCAATCTCAACCTCGAGCTAAAGTGGCCTCAAGGTAGGTCAAGAGCAGTAAAGTAAGAACAATAAAGTTAAAGGACAATTCTGATAAACAATGAACGAGAAAGTAAGAGAATGTATTCTTTTGCCAATGATCGATGATCGTTACAAATGATTAGGGTCCTCTTTATACAGTAGGGGAACCTAAATAAGGTACATTTCTATTTATAGTAAGGAATCTTATTGGGATAGCTGTCTAACCGCCTAGTACGGATTCATACTAACTCGTACAAATCTATTCCTGAATTTACGCCACGATCTTGGGGACGTGGCGGAAATCTTGCTCTTTCTGTTACAAAGCCACAACGGCATTATCTCGAGGCCGGTCACGTTCACCCTCGACATTCATCGGTCACTTTGATCTTCGAACTTCGAACTCTGCCATGGGCCTCAAACCCAGTGTACTTCAGACTTATTCTTGAAGTGGTTCCTCGAGCCCACCAAATCGAGCATAGTTGATTTTGACCGTATACAGATAGTCCCCGCGTTTCTTAGAATAAGATGATAAGAAATGAGTTGAGCCTCGGTTCTCTAGAGTCCCCAATGACGATGTCATCCCCGTGACGTAAGGGCTCGAGGTGACCGAAACGTCCCGTCGGTTCGCTTCCTCAAAATATTAAATGCATGCCAGTAATGGTCGGCTACTAGCG